TGATTATTCCCTGAGAAAATGGTCTGTTGGTCTCCATCGCATTTTAATTTTTTTGAGACAGGGGTTGCAGTCTGGGGTTTTTCATTAGAACAGGCATTCCATTCTGAGGTGCCACTGGGTGTCAACTATTATTAGAAAAATCGGAAATAAGTGAGGAAAAGCAAAAATTTCAGCAATACCCAAATATCTTGGCCAACGTAGACTCAATTTTCTTGAAATCTGGTCTCTTCTCTGGATCTTCCTCCCAGCAGTTTTTTACAAGTAGATAGACCTGAAAGAAAGAAGGGGTGGATTTGCTCAGGGAGTGGTATCTTCTCCTATTCTCTTCCCTTGATGGGAGTAATTGAGGCAGGGAGTATTTTTTTTTTTTTTTTTAAAGTTTATTTACTTTGAGAGAGTGAGAGCCTGAATCCAGGGTGAGGGGCAGAGAGAGAGAGAGATGGGAGAAGAGAACGTGAAACAGGTTCTACACTGTCCGTGAGGAGCCCCACGCAGGTCCGAAACCAAGAGTAGGCCACTTAACCCGCAGAGCCACCCAGGCGCCCCGAGGTAGGGAGTATTTTTAAAACATCTCAACTCGGACAATGAGGCTGAGATTACTTAGTTCCCCTCAGTCTGTCTCCGCACCACCTTGCCTCACCCGTCCCTTGGGCCCTAAATTAATGAAAAATGTGATATGGGTTTGGATGGGGCTGGATTGTTGGCAGAAAATGCTTTACAGAAGTTTGCAGGGTTTATGTGCAGTGGGTATGAGGCAGTGACTCTAATGTGAATCTCTTCCGCAAGGGCTTCCAACCACAGCGACCAGCGGAATCACCCCGAGAGGTTTCCAGTTTCCTGTGCTCACGCTCCACCCCAGAAGATTCCAATTCCCAGCAGTCCCGCCTTGTCTGAGTCAACCATGGTCTGGAATCAAATGATCCTACTGCTGACAAATCGTCAGAAGGTCCATAGTAACCTAGTGAAACCTCACAAGGCCTGTGCGTGCGTCATTCACCTCACTTCATCTCGTCACGTGACCACTTGATCATCTCACGTCATCACAAGAAGGGTGAGCACAGTACAAAAGGATATTTTGAGAATGAGACCATGTTCACATAACTTCTATTACAGTATATTGTTATATTGTTACAGTTGTTCTATTTTATTATTAGTTATTCTTGTCAGTCTCTGTGCCTAATTTAGAAATTAAACTCTATCAAAGGTATGTATGTCTAGGAAAAATCCTAGTATATAGAGGGCTCAGTACTTTCTGCAGTTCAGGTATCCACCGGGGGTCTTGGAATGTATCCCCTGTAGATAAGGGGGGACGACTATATACTTTTCTATTATTTTTAGATGTGGGCATATTCATTTTTTAATCAGTAGGTGGTATTTATAAGCCTAAGAAGTATATGACATGGACATCTTGATCTTTTAGCTCCTAAAAATTGAGAGGGCCATATGTGCTTCAGAAGCCAGGTCTTGAGGTGGGAGAGGTGGAAAAGGATATGGGGCTGATGACGGTGCCCAAAGAGAATGTCTGAGTCCTGGCCCCTGGATCCAGTGCAAGTCACCTTATTTGGAAAAGAGGTTTGTGCAGATGTGATTCGGTAAAGGACCTTGCAATGGGAACATTATTGTGGACCACCTTGCTAGGCTCAGTGTAGTCTCATGAATCCTTATACAGGAGGGAGGTAGAGGGACAATAGACAGAAAAGATGAAAATGGAACCATGGAGGCAGAGATTGCAGTGTTGTGGCCACAAATCAAGGGAAGTCAGTAGCCATCAGAAGCTTCTGGAAGAAGCAAGAAATGGATTCTCCCCTAGAGCCTCTGAAGGAAGCATGACCTTGTTGACAACTTATTTCAGACTTCTGGCCTCCAGAACTATAAGGCATAAATTTCTGTTGTTTCAATCCACCAAGTTGCTGGCAATTTGTTATGGCAACACACAAAACCCATGTAGGGAAACACACTCACTTCCAGTTCTTTCTCCTCTGCCGTTTCCAGGAACAGATCTGGGCGGAAGGGTTTTACTCCATTGGAATTCTCTACTCTGAAAATCTTCTCTGATGGGATGAGAATTATGCAAATTACAAGAAAGAATACAGCATGAAAAAACTTTAGCAGCAGCCAGACCCTGAATTGGTTCACCCACCCTGGATGGGTACCCAGTGAAAATATGGCAGAGCCCAGGCAAGCACTCAAAGAATGAATAACCACCAGGCGAGGGGTCTTATACCCACTTATACCCAGGGGGTTATTAGCTTAAGTTAAGGTTACTAAGTCTCTGAAACTTAACTTGAATACCACCACCTTTAGTATGTTTCCTCCAAGAGTCTAGCCTGCCCTCTCTACATCCCTTAGACCCCCACCCTCCAGAGAGTTAAGACCTGGGACATAATAATTACACAGTAAGCAAGGGTTGGATGAATGGAAGGAAGCATTTCCCCCTTGAGAAGACCTGTGACAAAAACTATAGATCTTCTCTCAGTAAGAACTAAAATACATATGTTGTGCCACGAGAGTGATGTAGCTCAGGTGTTAAACAGACACACATCTTTTCTTAGAATCAGAAAGGAAGGGGGGAGACCGTAAGGCAAGTCTTCAACCGACAGTAACACTGACACCTGGTATGTTATATGCTTTTCAGAGCATTCTACCATTCTTCCTGTCAACCCCTCCAATACCCCTGTGTGACGTGCAGTGGAGATATGCCATTACTTCTGCGGATGAGGGGACTGAGCTGTGGCCACAAAGAGATGAGGGTCTTGGTCAGCCTAGAATGCAGGCTCCCAGAGAGGGCAGATGGCTGAGTCCAACTCTTACCATTCTCATCCCGGCAGCTCAACGTGTAGAAGGTTTCTCTCCGCAGGATGATCTCCTGGGCAATGATCCCGTAGCTGTACACATCTCCTTTCTGGGAGATGCTGGCCTGGCGGAGGTGCTCCGGGGCTGTCCACAGGTCTGTGAATTCAGCATTGAGATTGCAAAGTTGAGGGAGCTGAGCGGCTCGTAGGTCTCCAACCTGCTTTTGTTCTTTAAGTCCCTATCCCATGCACCCTGAATATGAGTGGCCCTGAACTTAAACGTCCCAAACTTTTGAGGGGTTTATGCTAATGCTGGTGATAGGGAGAGAATGCACATTTGCCTCTTGAGCTGACTATATAATGCCAGGATTTGGGTGAGGTCACATGGCAATGTGGTCCGTAAAACTTCAGAATCATAGTCCTGAAAACCCTCGAGCCTACCTAGAATAGCACTTGGTGTATAGGAGTGCTCAGCAAATATTTGTAGAACGACTACAGTAGAATATGAAAGGCTGAGGATTTAATAGCTTGTGGCACATATGGCATAAACCTATGAAAGCCTTCATAAATAAAAAATACATAAATTTATATTTTTATTATAAAATATAAAATATGTATACTATATGTATATTATGTAATATGGAACATTATGTATAACATATATGCATACCCATTGAAACACATTTAAACAAAGAGCCTATCAGTGATATTTTGCAGGTTGGACATACTCACAGCCTCCAAATCAGCTATTGGCCACAGATGTGTTTTCTTGTGTTCCCACAGTATTCTTGAAAAAATAATGCATACAGTTTTCTCACATTTTACTCTGTGCCTGCTATTCATTAATGCTTCACACAAGTGAAGTGCTCCTGTGTTCTGTGCTTGGTTCCTACAGACACTTGGGTTTTGGACCCTATCACATAACTTAGCTAGTAACACCAAGGGCATACATTCAATTTCTCTCCATCCTTTGCAAGTTTTCTAGGATCACCTAACTCCTTCTAAACTTTCTGAGATTTTCTTTTTCAATGAAAAAAATCTTTAAATTCATGTGAGGTATGATACACTTATGCTGAGGCACATTTCCCTTGTTTGGTTTTCCATCCAAATGTTCATTGCCTTTTTGAATTTATGTCTTGTTAATTTGTGTGATTTGTGATTCATATACAATTGATCCTAATGGTTTGGGGTAGAGGACAGGTAAGTGGATGAGCTTACGTTAAAACTTCAGGTAACCGACAGCACAGATTCGTAGGTATAACTGAGTGATGTTTAAGAGGATAGCATTTGATCGGCAATTCATCTGATTTTGTGTCGTGGTGAGTCATCTATTAAAGGAGACTTGTTCCACCACAGATGAACCATGCTTGACACATGGTAGGTCTTTATCAAGCACTTATTGGATTGAGTCCAGTGTCATTCTACGCTTGATGTGACTGAAGAAGTAGGGGCAGAATTGTAATTTTACTTTATTGAGAGAAAATGAAAGGATTGCAAAGTAGAATTAGAAATCAAATTTAGGTTTTTGGATCTAGGTGGTATTTTGAGGCTTTGTGGGAGTGCCATATTTCTGAGGCTGTTTAACCCCGAGTTATAGTAAAGAATGGGTAAATGTTCAACATGAAAAGCTCTTTATACAAGATAAATCACTTTTCTTTGTGTTTCTCTTTTGGCCCTTATAACAATCCAGAAAGGGATAGGTAAGAATGTATTTTACTGATAAGAGTGGTTTTTTTTCCCATTATCATAATCACAGACAAATGAATGACAATTTGGAAATAGGTCTTCTGCCTTGTATTCTATCTTCTTGGGCAAATCTCAGCCTCTGAGCCTCAATTCTGACTTATACCAAGGAAGAGAGTTAGACTAGATGATTTCTAAGGTCTCTCACTACCCTCACCTTCTCTATTTTTTCACCCTGTTCTGCTTCCACAGCCAGTAAGTTCTTCATGATTTCCTCACTGATATCCAGAAACACACAGATGAAGGAAACCCACAGAAGAGATTTGTTCAACTCAAGAAGCACTTGTTGAAAACTGGCAAAAACTGACAAGGGTGTAGTGCTGGAGAATGAGCCAGCTGTTTCCTCTTGTGGCTCCAAGTGTTTATTTTCTGATCAGTATCACCACTCCCTGACCACTTGTGAGAATTTTTTTTTTTAAGTGGGGAACTAGTAAAAATGGCATTCCTTACAGACCTTTTGTTGGAGGCAAAATGGAACTGCAGCCAAAATCAGTGATCTTAACCACCATTCTACTGTCTACCACACAGTTGGTGGATTTCAGACGGCCGTGGACTTCGGTCTTACTGGAGTGCAGGTATGACATGCCCTGTAATTTTTCAGATGACAGGGAAACAAAGAGATATGACACTCTTCAGCTGCTTGGTTATTTTAAAGAAAGTAATAACGTTTTGAAAGCATTTCAGCATGCAGACAGCATCACACCACGAGAATTTAAATTTAGTTCCATTAATTCTCCTTTAAAAATATTGTTAATGCCCTAATACTTGCCTAAGCCCTGCATCTTAAAAGGCAATTGTCTAAAGACTCTGGTTAAACAGTTATGCAGAATATGAAACAAAGGGTTGATTCTAATTTTTTTTTAAGTGTTTCTGCTTACCGCTTAGTCTGTGATCCTGGGGTGCATTTCTGGTTTTCTTCCTCAATAAAAATACAGACTTGCCCTTCTGAAGGGAGGGGCAATTCAATTACGAAAGGGCAAGCCTCCCCAACCCCGACCCTTTTTTTTGGGGGGGGGGGGGGGGGGGGGGGGTGTGGTGCTGCTGTGCTTCCCTCTGGTGGCCAGAGGTGTCACTGCAGAAATTGGTCTTCAGCCTGGATCACAGGAGTGAAAAGTGGCAAAGAGGGTGGGTATCGTACAATACTTTTTAAAACCGATTCTGGTCCTAGATGACTTTCAGGCTATTTAAGGCTGTATCAAACAGCTCAATCTTGGGATTGACTTGTCTTCGTTCTTGAATGAGGCCGCTGGCAGCCACTTCCTTTTTTCGTATACTATCTGGGAATACACATGTCCAAATTCATTAGTGCCTTGAGCAAGAGGGTTGCCTGTCCTGAACATTTTCTCTTAAAAAGATTGTTGTCTTGCCTGAAGCGTAATATGATTTTGATTTCCAGCAAGTCTATGAAAATGTGTACCCCAAGTTCAGAGCAGGAAAAACATAATAATAAAAAGTAATAGCTTGGATATCGAACATTTATTTATACCAAATATCACATGAAGTACGTGCATTATTTATGAAATCCTCACAACAACCCTCTGACATAGGTACTATTTTTCTTATCATTTTATGGATAAAGAAACCAATGCTCAGAGAGGTTGAAAACTTGCTAGACCTGTTTTCCTATGTTTACTTTTCATAAATGTCTCTTTTGTTTGTAGGTCTCTTACCTTAGCAATGTCATACAAGACCGAGATCTTAAACTCCCAATCCATGAATGTACCATCAGGGTAGGAGATGGTGTCATTTAAAACTTCCTGAACAGCAGAAAAAGAAAAGGAAGAAACTGTTGGAAGGAAGGATCCTGTGGAGATTGTTATAGGCTAATAATGATCTTCTAATCATGAGGCCTGGGGCTCAGAAGCAAACTGAAATGCCATTGTCCTGTTTTTCCTGAACGTGTATTTCTTTCCTTTCCTATGAAACATCAGGTGGCTGTCGCCATAATAAAATGAGGAGGAGATACTCATCGTATTCTAAATCCTGGTTCTTCCGCCAGACAGGGGGAAAGGAATGAGCAGACACCTGACTGGAGAACGGGCTATCACAGGTTGTGGGCTGCAGGTTCTGTTTCTCCGAAATCACACTAGTGATTAGCAGGATTTGCTATTAGGGAATCCCGTCCTCTTTTTTTTCCTCACGGGATCAATTGCGTCCGTTGGCTGACAGCTCTGAGTTTTCTTTACATTTACCAAGTACTCTGTCAATGAGAGCGAGTTCTTGGATTTTGTGTGAATTGTACCACCTAGGAATTTGAACTTACTATTTTTTTTTAAATTTTTTTTTCAACGTTTTTATTTATTTTTGGGACAGAGAGAGACAGGGCATGAACGGGGGAGGGGCAGAGAGAGAGGGAGACACAGAATCGGAAACAGGCTCCAGGCTCCAAGCCGTCAGCCCAGAGCCCGACGCGGGGCTCGAACTCACGGACCGCGAGATCGTGACCTGGCTGAAGTCGGACGCTTAACCGACTACGCCACCCAGGCGCCCCTGAACTTACTATTTTAACACGATGATGGTTCTGTGAAGATGCAGGGTTGTAGCTAAGCAATAACTATTCTTCACAGTAAAACTCTAATAACCTAATAATAGGTCCCTGTTTGGGGAAAAAGCCCAATTTGACCTTTAGTTTTAACTCAGGAACTGTACCAATGATTTCCAGTGAAGGGCGTGTAGTCATTAATCATTTCAGATAAGGCTGGTTTAGCTGCGGCTATCAGGCCCGGTTAAGGGAGGGAAATTATGGGCAGACAGTCTCTGAAGTAATTCTTTCCCTTAGCACATGATATATTTTATATTTTTATTTATTATCTCTTCTCCCTATGGACATGTAAATTCTGTGATACTTTTTGTTCTGTATCTTCAATATCTAGTACAGTATCTGGCATATCTAGATGTTTCATGAGTATTTGTTGCATAAATGAATCAATTGTTCCTAAACAAGGTTAGCCAAGGTTGTTCTATATTTATAAGATGGGAAGCATATTGTCTTTTATCTAGGGAAACACTTGCCCATTTGTTTCCTTACAAAAGTAGGTTCTGATGGGATTTGCCAGGGACTGAAGCCTGGGGCAGGAGGGGGATGGGACTGTAAAGTTTGCACTGGCACAGCCTTTGCTTTGAGATTCAAGACACAAAGGAGCAGTTTCTTGTAGAAGCTTCTGTCCAACATGATGCTAGAAGGGAGCCCCAGAGCACTCAGATAAATGAAGTTTCCTATCTTACAGCAGAGAGCCCAAAACACTATCTAAACATTGACTGGGCATGTTAGGGATTAAAAGGCCATGTGAAACCCTTTGACCAGGCCCTATGAATTTGTATTCTAAAATTTCCTTTCACTGAAATCGAATGATCAGATTTGATCTAGGCTTCATATGAAAAAAACATTTCTTTTTGTTGTTGTTGGTTGTTTTAAAGTTTATTGATTTTGAGAGAGAGAGAGAGAGAGAGAACACACACGTGTGCACATATAAGCAGGGGAGGGGCAGAAGGAGAGGGAGAGAGAATCCCAAGCAGGCTCTGCACGGTCAATGTAGAGCCTAAGGCAGGCCTCAGTCTGCAAGATCATGACCTGTGCTGAAATCCAAAGTTGGACGCTCAACCAGCTGAGCCACCCAGATGCCCTGCCCGGAAAAACATTTCTATAGATGGCTCCTGACTTATGATGGCTTGACTTGCATTTTTTTTTTTTTTTAACTTTACAATGGTGTGAAAATGATATGCATTCAGTAGAGATAATACTTCAAATTTTGAATTGGTATCTTTTCCCAGGGCTGGCAATTATGATGCTGGGTGGGCAGTGAGGCTCAGCTCCCAGTGAGCCACTGGATCAGGAGGGTAAACAACCAATATACTTACAACCATTCTGTGTCCAAACAACCACCCTGTTTTTTACTTTCAGTACAGTGTTCAGTAAGTTACATGAGATATTCAACACTGTTGTAAATAGGCTTTGTGTTAAAAGATTTTGCCCAACTGTAAGCTAATGTAAGTGTTCTGAGTGTGTTTCAGGTAGGCCTGCTGTTTGGTAGGTTAGGGGGATTAAATGCATTTTTGACTTAAAGATTTTTTTAACTTATGGCTTTATGGGGACATAAGCCCATTGTAAATTGAGGAAGAGCTGTAATTTTGAAAGACTTGAGATTTTTATTATTAGGAATGTGTGTTTATTTTATATCAGCACCAATTTGAATGATCATTTTCAGCATCAATTACAATGATTATGAGTTTTCTATGACCTTTTGATATGATGCATTATAGTAATATTTTTTCCTTTCATAGAATTAATCCTATCTGATTATATTATGGTTTTTATATACAACTGGCTTAGAGTTACTAGTATTTTATTTATATTTTTTCCATGTAATTTCATAAATGTAGTTACTCTTTAATCATATTTTACTATCAACTTTATGCTACCTTGTTGAATGCTAAATGAATTTAGAAGATGTTCATTTTTCATTTAACATTGCAATAGTATTTACGTAGACAGTAAGGATTATTTTTTGAGGCTTAAACAATTAAGCTGATCTGGTATTATCTGTAATGGAAATTATAATTTCTTGTATCATTATTGTCCTATTTAAGTTTTTGCTTTTTGAGTCAAATTTTCATGATCATATTGCCTCTGAAAATATTCCTTTTTAAGATTTTATAATTTAAGTCAAATGAAGTATTCTTTCACAACTGAAAATATCTTTTTCACAGCTTTATTTTTTATCCTCACTTTTTTGTATTTTTGTTTTAAAAGTTTTAATTAGAAGTATGAGAGGCTTTTATGTTTTATATTTTAAAAACCTAATGAATGCACCTTAAAATTCTACATTTT